CTTGTTGAGTGCTTTTTTTTTTTTTTTTTTTTTTTTTTTTTAACACGGTTCCTTTTGATCAAGGGCCCAGTGCCCAAGGCAAAATACAATGAAGATGAGTCGCAAACTCAGGGGCCACGAGGTCTCCCGCTTCACTTCGGCAAGCGGAGCCCGTCTCCTGCGAAAAAGGAACCAAAAAGGAAAGAACAGAAAAACCAAATGAAAATCTAAGCGAGGAAGTCCTTACCCTAATAAATCCGAAATTCCTAAAGTACGCCTAACCAGTTTTTAGTTTAGTATTTGCCTAAAATGGCGCTCCTCACCCTTATAACACCAAAGAAAGCCAAATAGAATTTTAAGTTCTAACTAAACCCTAAACCCTAACAAGGGAACTAACAAATGTCCTACTGGGTGCCTATCTATTCCCAAGTCCCAATGCGTGAAACGCTATTAACACAAAAAACAACCAATTCAGGGTTCATAGCTCCTAACAACCAAATCAGCGACAAAGCCCAGTGGGCACTAGAGAAGCAGCCAATACGGAAATCCCAGCGATAAACAGCTACACTCCCCTGGCCAGTTGATGAAGATCCGATGCTGAAGGAACAAGCAGCTCCAGCAGATGCAACCCACAGGCGATGGCACGGTCCACAAAGCTCCATATCTGAAGACCAAACGCGCGAATGCACACCGATCTTGGTTACACTTAGCGTGTAAAGAGGGGTGGCAGCGCTCCAAATAGTAGCCAATGAGATCTGCAGCGCGCCGCACTCCCACCGGCGTACAGCCTAACTGTTGTGGTCAAGCTCTGCCCACCGTGTCCGTGTCCTCAACGCAAGGACACAGCTCATGTGAGCCACTGGAAGCACCACGCATGGTGACCTTGGCTATGGCTTCCAGCTCCAGCAACTTCGGGGGGCCGCAGCGCTGCATCGCCTAGCAGCGCGCCGCACCTGCCTGGGGGCGACGCGTGGGCGCTGTGTTACCGCAACGCTAACGGACCGCCCATTCTTGTTGACTTCTATTAGTTCTGTGGAAATGCGTTATGCGTCACCGCAATGCTAACGTGCCACCCATACTTGTTGACTTCTATTAGTGCTTTGAAAATGCCTTTATGTTCTAGGCTACCAGCCGGGCCACGGATCACCTTGTTTTCCCGGCCGGCCCGGCCGTGCGAGGAGCAGGCAAGGTCCCAGCAATTTTTTTTTTTTAAATCCAAAAACTCTGGAAAAAAAATAAAAAAAATCCAAAAACTCCGGAAAAAAACTATGTTATGGCAGTTATGCAGAAAAAAAAAATGAACAACTTTTGCCTCAGGGTCACATCCAACATCTTTACCAAATTGAAAATAAATAAATAAATAAAAAATCTTGTTTTTTGCCTGGCCGGGCAACTGGTCCCGGGCCACTCTGGTAGCCTTTCTTACTTTTGATTTGTTCTTTGTGTATCAACGTCACACAATAGTTTTTCCGTTCTTTTTCCCTTTTATTGTTTGTTTTTTTTTGTGAAAATTTTCCAAATGCCCCTGAAGTTTGCGTTTATTTGCGGCGTGCCCCTGTGAAGGCCGACTTACCCTGTTATGCCCCTCGGGCTTCTGAACTTTTCCGCAGGCCCCTGTCAGCACGGGGCGTAACTTTCCGATATGCCCTTACTGGGCCGCTGGTTGCATTTCGTCGGTCCATCCTTGAAATGCCCTCACGAGAGGCACACATCTTTCTGTGATGCCCTTGAGAAGTGGCGGCAGTACTTCTAATTCGAAAATGGTAGGTACTTCACGTGTCTTCTTGGCGCCATCGCCGGTGCACGCGCACTCGTCTGTGTGTGTGTGTGTGTGTGAGTGTGTGTGTGTGTGTGTGTGTGTGTGTGTGTGTATGTGCGTGTGTGTGTGTGTGTTCACATCATCTTTCGTTTTCTTGTTGGTTGCTGTATGTGTGTGTGTGTGTGCGTGTCGTTATGTCCCTCCACTTCGACATTCTGGACGTATAGAACGATCGTCGTGCATTCAACTTTGGAGCATCCGAATGTATCTGGTGCATTGACAACGCCAGATACATTCAGACATGGATGCATAGGGGCTCTCTCTCTCTCTCTCTCTCTCACACACACACACACACACACACACACACACACGAGCACGCGCGCCCACGTGTGTGTGTGAGAGAGAAAGAGAGAGGGGGCCCGGCTGTAGCTGCCCGCTCCTGCCTGGTCCCACCCGCAGCGACCTGCTACCACCCGCTCCCCCTGCCATCTCGCCCCAGCTCTGTGTGTGTGTGTGTGTGTGTGTGTGTGTGTGTGTGTGTGTGTGTGTGTGTGTGTGTGTGTGT